CCTGGAATTGCTCAGATAGCTTGTAATGTTCAGTTAGTATGTATCATGTAATTTTTCCAAGTTTGTAGATGTGAAAATTTTGTGCATCTGCAGCTAGAAACTTTTAGAGCATAGAAGCCTTTATAATTGCAGGCTTAGAAAATTTTCAACAGATTCTGATAGTAAGGAGATTACATATTCCCAGGTGGCTATAAAATACCAGATAAAAAGTCTAGATGTTGGGGTAATAATAGCATGAAATTGATAGGGTTTTAGACAGTCAACATTCCCCCAAGAAGCAACACTGATCTTGCGCTCTGTTTTAAAGGGAGGGTCAAATGAATTCTATCGCCATCAGTGTAATTTGCCTTAAATGTTGTTAAGATCTGGATGAAGTATCTGCATTGCTGCATGTGCTCTTTTCCTGTGTGTTTTTACTTTCTCAGTAGACTGAATTTTATTTGAATGTTCATCTTAAATAGTACTTTTGTCAACAAAATAATGTCTCCTTATAAATATAGCAGTAATTGTTGCTGTGAAGTGCTGGAGAATTCTGTAGCTCCTGGATAGAGCAAGCGATCGCTGTGACTAGCATTACCTAATCATCTTACAGCATTACCTGGTGTCATCAAAAAGGTAGTTCATAGGGTAGAATAAAAATTAAACCCAAGCATGAACAGGTAGTTAAGAGTTTGTATTGACAGTACATAATATATAACTGAAAACTTCAGGCTTTATTTTGCGAGTTGCCTAGTTAAGCTTTCCAAATTAATGTTGCTACTAAAAAAAAAAATTCTCTGCTCAGTTATTCTCCTGTTGCTGCTTGTGCTGTTTTATGCTGAAATTGAAATATGCTTTGAAAATAAGAACCATTACTTTATTAACTCATCTTGATTTGTCTACTGAACCAACTGTAATATAGGTATTTCCAATAGTGTCACAAAATTAATGGCACCATGCATAGAACGCTTTTATGATCATGAGAGCATACCCCCAAAAGCTTCAAACTACTATACCAGCCTAATTTAGTGGTTGGGACTTTGAATTCTGAAATGTACAAAGTCTTAGAATTGTTTAATGATTCCTTTAAAGCTTAGTTTGGAGGAGAAGACAGTTCAAACTGCAAACCTGACAGAAAGAGGCAAGGAGAACAGCAGAGCATCACTTTTCCTCTTGGAACGCCAGCTAAAATAAGAAAAGTCAGCACTTAATGGTGTTAGTCAGTCAGGTCCTTAAGAGTTCTTCTCTGCTGAATGTTAGCAAGTATCTTCTTCACAACATGGACCAAGAACTTGAACGTTCATCTCAGTCTTTCAAGTTAAGTTATTAATTAGGCATATGCTTCATGTATTTTTGTTCTTTATTCTTCTCAGGTCTGTCTCAAATTGATTTGCCTCAAAGGGATGAGGGAAGATGAGAGGGAGTCTTGGGAGATGGATAAACAGGTCCCATACCTCAAGATCAGATGAGTGTGAGCATTGAGAGTGGGAGAAAAGGGATCCATTCCTTCAAGTCTGGTCCTGTCACATAGTACTGCATCCTATTTAGTCACTGTAACCAGCAACATATTGCAGTTCCTGTGTCTACTTGGCTAATATCTAGCCAGTCAGAAAGAGGGTTGGTTAAAAACCCTAAGGATCACTTACTCTTGCTGCTGCTGGAGATGGAAGAATCAGAGAGGGCAGTGACACCCAAGCCTGGAATGCAACCCCCACCCAGCACTGGCTGTTCTTATCTCCATTTGGATTCCTCCCTCAGTTGCAGCCCCTAAATCTCCAGGATGTGGGCATAGGCAAAGGCAGCACTTCTTCTGATGTTTCCCAGGGCTATTTTACACCCCTATGAAACCTACAGATAGTTGTAGATACTGTGACAGTACTGCTGTAGAAATACAATACAACTGTGCTGTGTATCAAACACAGTTTGAAGAGTACCAAGATAGTAAGAAGATTGTGTCAGTATGGCTTGTGATACTTGCTGTTCATTAGCGGCTTTCTCCATTCTGGCCAGAAGGGAAGCAGTTTTGCAAGGTTCAGGCTTGTACCTAAAGGAGTAGAGTGCTATGAAGTGGGTAAGTGGTATCAGAGCATAACACTGGCCTCATATGATTGCTAGACCATACTGTTGTCTGGTGCACTGCCCATTGCTGCCACTTTGTCAATGGCTGAAAGCTGGCTTTGGTATGCAGCATTACTCATCAAGCTTCTCCTTATGTATGCATATGTTTTATATTTACATTTTGCATTTTTTTTTTTTGGTTACAGGTTACCTAGTGGGAGGGGAAGTGAGCACTGGTTTTTAGGGGTTTTTTAAAGTCAAAGTGAGGTGCTCTAGTTAAACTTCTAAATACTTTTTTTTAGGTTTCTGTTGTCAGATAATTTCTTCTTCTCACCTATAGATCTTCTCACAGTGTAATGTACCTATAGTATTGCAAATAATTTCTGCTGTAAAGACATGCCCAGGTGTCCCTGCATGCTTTTAATTTGTGGCAAAAGAATTGCTTTTTGAAATAAGGGGTTAATGGATTTATATCTATCCGAAAGTATGTTAGGAGGGAAGATTAAATTCTTACCTCTTAAGTGGTAGAAGTAGAATGCTATTATGTTGCATTTCAATTTTGGGTAGTAATTCATTCTTATTAAAGACTTAATGGGATGCTGCCAAAACTAACGACAGTTGTTCATAAGTTGTTCATATCCTTCTGAAGTCCGTTAGGGAGCTTTACCAGCTCCAAACATGGGGAGAATGTCAATATGTATTTTTCTTGCCACTTTCATTTGTTTAACTGATCTTTCAATGCTCCAAAAGTAAACATTAGTCATACTTTTGTAGCCTCTCTGAGTTTGAGTCATGATTTAAAAATTTGAAAGTAATCCGTGTTAGTAAATATCTTTCTTGTTTCCTTTTTCAAGTTACAGGATAACAACATTGACTGGGTTTTCAGTGCATTTTAAGTCCATTCCATAGCTGGCTGGATTGTTTGTGTCCTGTAGAACACAGAACTCCTGCTTTGTCTCGTACCATACGTCAGGCGCTTGACACTAAGCAAATTAACAATAGACCTTGCTATACTAAGATAAGAGGCTAATTTTACAGGTACAGCATTTCATAAATCACATTATAGTTGACAGTTCAGAACTGGAGAATTAATTAATATTTAGAAATCTAGTCAAATGGGAATAGTTGCAGGCTTATTAGAAACAAATGTCACATTGCTGTTTGATACAAAGATTTCTAGGTCAGAATGACTGATGTTTGTGTGAATTTTCTTACATAAACATGACTAATTACTTTTGAAAGTCCACAGTTTTATCAGTTAATGTATGCTATATAGCTGCTTATTTACTGTGTAAGAGTGTTCCTGAAAATTCCACACTCATATTTTTTTATTTACTTCTTTTTAATGTCACTTGACAGATGCTATGATAGCTCAGTGAGTGGAAACATGCAAGTTTGCTGACATCTGAACTTGAATTTCAGTTCTTTTTAGTCTTTCACTGTGCAGATGAAGAAATCTACTCATGACCTCTGTGTGGTTGTACTTCAGATATTAGACTTGTACTGATTAAACAAGTAGGAACTTGATGGGTCTCATGGTTTTGAGTGACATTGGCTTTATTCTGTTGAAAAGAATTAGTTCAAAGTAAACCTGTGATATTTTGGGAATCCTAGATATACAAAAGAATTTGATGTAGCTTTAAAATTTGTGTTAGAAGTGATGCATGTTACTAATATAAGCAGATGCTTTCATAAAATAGACTAAAATACACAGGCTTTTCTGGTCTTGAATACTAACTGGCTTTGGAATTTTTCATCATGGTTTGCTCATCTAATGTGTTGTCTGTTATGGTGTTCCATTTAGTCATCTGAAATTCTACTTAACTAATGAATATAATCTTTAATACTTATTTAGCTGAAGAATTTACATGGTTATATAAATTCCAATTAGAGTATGTTAGGAGGGTTGGGTTTATGGATGTTCCTAGTTTTAGAACTTGTGTTTACCCAGGCTTTTCTAAGCATAAACTTTTTTTTACAAAACTTTGCAGTATCAATACCTGCGGCCTTGCTAGTTTGGCTTTTGAATGATCGTGAAAGAGTTGCAGTTTGGAGTAACATGCACTGCAGTTCTTCCCACTGCAGTCTTATACCTAATTTGAAGAATTAATGGACTTTGTAATAGTTGAAACAAGTGGCTGTCTGAAGTTTGAGGAGTTGGAAAAATTATGTGCCAGAAAGATGGAAGATTAATGTCTTGATAGCAATCCATTAATGTTTTCTAATGGTGTATGGGTGATGTGGAAAACTGAGCTGAAGGTATGCATGGAAGGGCTTGCTTTCTACAAGGAATTGTCTACAGCAGAGAATGTACAAACTTGGAAGATGAAACTTCATCTGTGTAGATTCTACTTTGTGTAGATTCTCATTGGTTGAAAGAAGGGATAGGTCAAGGCCATTAGATTGATAGTGTGAACAAACAGACTGGTTCCCTTTGTTGCATGTTACTACATTATGTCACTTCTTAATGTTACATGAAATAGAGCAGTGGCAGATGTACTGCCATGGGAGTACAGAATGGGAGTTTTGCATTGATTCTTCCATGGTCTTAATTCTGCTTAAGTAGTATTCTGGATGTGGTAAATAATTGGTTGATAGACTACATTTGAAAACTAGCTTTAAAAAGGAATGCAGAAGTGTCAGGAATGTTAGTCAGAGGGATAGAAAACTTTTAAATGTTTACAAAAAAAGGCAACTCAAACCTGTAACATTTCATCTGTATGTATGCACTGGCTGTAGAAATTAAAAAAATACAGTGGACAGTAACTGAGAGCTTAGTAATTTACTTCAAAATTCTATAGATTTAGAGAGGACCATTGTACTTACATGCAAAGTGAGATGCTAAAGTTTAATTAGTTTTTAGGTTTTACAAAACACATTACTTAAGGTATGCCTAAAACTTGGGTTCTTGATTTTTGTTTGCCCCCTTCCCCTTCTTTTCCTCTGTTTCTTTCTAGGTTTAACTATAGATCAACACATCATCTTGCATCCCATGGGTTTTATGAATTTTTAAATTGGTTTGATGAAAGAGCATGGTATCCACTGGGAAGAATAGTAGGTGGAACTGTAAGTATTGTAATAATAACTTAAAGATGACTTTTAAGTTTTTGGAACTTGCAGTACAAATTCGACATTGATAAAAGAATCTTAATAAAATATGGTTTTAACTGTCAAACTGCTGCTACAGAGGGAATAGCAAGATGTTTTGAATTTTTATCTGTGGGAACTAAGACAGTGTGTCAACATGCTTTAGTCTTTATCCAGCAGCGTACTATGAACAAGAAATACAGAACTGGGTTTTACTTCCTTACATATGAACTTCTAGTAGTAATAAATAAGGGTATTGTGACTCCTGTAGTTCTGGTACATGAAATGAAAAAAGAAAAAAAAAGTTTGAAAAAGTTATCTAAATCTCTTAAGGCACAAGTTTTAATCTTAATTTTTTTAATATTTTGAGTGTACTTCATGTGTGTATGGAAAATGTTATGTCACAGGGAAAAGACCTTTTGAAATTAAATCAGCGGGACACCTGTATGAAGTGTCAGGAGTAGGTAAGATTGGTGTTGATGCAAGTTACAAGAGGAAATGTGTACAAAACGATATTATCAAATCAGAATACAAATACTGTTAATTAGTAGAATAGTTTTAATAACACTAAGTAACACAGCCATGTGCTACGTAATGTGTGAAAATACATTACAACTTTTTAATTATAGTATATAAGATTGAAAGGCATTTAACAAAGTCTTTTGTAACAATTAGGTTAGCGATTTTTTAATATCTTAAGAGGTATTTGAGACTCTTTTTATGTATGTGTGTTTTTTCCATGCCTGTCTTATATGAAATAAAAACCCTTAGAAAATAGAATTGAAATTTTGATTGCATACGTTAGTTTGCAAGTCACATGATAAATTATGTTTTAATAGTTTATCTTGAGAAGCAGCTCTCAAGGATATATGCAAGGGAATGTTCTGTCATCTGTTAATTTAATTTAGTACATCACCCTTCTTAACTTACAGAATAAACTAAGGCAGGTGAAGTCCATATTCATTCTTCTAGTGCATATTGATCTTTATAATGTTGATAAATGTGGGAGGGTAGAATTCTTATTAAGAATATTTTAATGTTATCCAGTATTCCATGATGGGTTCAATAGATTTGTGTTAAGTCTATGCTACCTTGCGTGGAGGACATCTTAATTCAATCTTACAGGACTTTATCTTAATCCTTCATACCCAAAGATGTCTACAGATGTCTTGCAAATATACAATACTCAACTGTCTTTCAGCTTTTCAGCTTAAAAAAAAAATCTTGTTGATGCACATTTTCTTTCTCCATGAAGTAAAGAGTGGCATGGTATACTTTGGAGGAAAATGGATAGGGCTGGGAAATATTGTTGGGTTTCTTCTTTCTCTCTCAGGGTTTTTGGGTTTGTTTTTTTCTTTAAGCTGTTAGCTGGCTTGAAATTTGCTTGCAAACTTTAGCTTCTGCTTCCATACCTTAACGACAAATTCTTCTCATTATATGATAAATGTCAGGCAAGAGAGGATATTATCTGTATGCTGCTTATTCGTTTGCAAAATGGATTATATGTAATTGTTAGCATTGGGATAAATTTTAAAGAACCTCTGGTATTCAGCAGTGTTGTCAAAACGTGATTAAAGTAGTATTAAAATAATTCCATTAACTTTACCTGCACTGTTTATATCAGCTTAAGAAATGTCTGTTTCATTGCAAATTATATGCAAATAACCTTACCATGATCATTTTCTGCAATAACCTAGTGATGGGGTTTTTTTTCTTCCTTTTAGGTGTACCCAGGGCTGATGGTGACAGCAGGCCTTATACATTGGATTCTAAATATGCTTAACGTGACAGTCCATATAAGAGATGTATGTGTGTTCCTAGCACCAGTTTTTAGCGGCCTTACAGCTATTTCTACTTTCCTGCTCACCAGAGAACTGTGGAACCAGGGAGCAGGGCTTTTAGCTGCCTGTTTTATTGCCATAGTTCCAGGTTACATATCCCGATCAGTAGCAGGATCATTTGACAATGAAGGCATAGCTATTTTTGCACTGCAGTTCACATACTATTTATGGGTAAGTAATTGCTGAGTCTTTTGCTTTGGGAAGGTTTTTTGGTTCCTCCTCCGACCAAATAACTGACTTTTCTTAGAATCCATTGAATTCTTATTTTCCTCCCTCTCATCCCTCTTCCTGTTGGCTTTTGATCAGGGAGATACTGAGAAGTCACATGATCTGAACCACTCTGTAATCATGTTCTTTAGTTTGCTATGTAAAAGCACTGTTCAGCTGAAGTATGTGTGTCCAATAGTAGTAATAATAATAGTAATGATGATGAGTCTATAAATGTTAAGCAAAGAGGAGGGTTGTTTCTGTTTTTCAGTTCAGAGGTATTAGTATTATGTGAGTGTCAAACTTTAGCCTCTTTATTTACCTGATAAAAAGCAGTAGACTCTGAATAAAAGTGCTTTGAATTGTCTTTTGTTGAAGCTGTTGACTGTATGGAGGGTCTAGACTTTGACTTAAGCATCCAAATTAAATGCCCAAAGCTGTCCAGAGCAAGATACTAACATTGCTTGCATGCTTTAAAAAAAAAAACAAACAACTGTCTTTAATTAGCCTACTTGCTAGTGCAGCTTGTCTGTCACTCCTTAATCTGTACGTAGAATTGTATCTGTAAAGCAGTTTTGTATGGAGTTTACCAACCTGGAGTTTTTCTGGAGTGTTGCATCTATTTTGGAAATATCACCAAGAGCATAACTATATTGGTAATTCAGCACAGATGCTGTATGTTACTGTTCCTTGAATGCATATACTTTTCATTAATAAAATTATTTATCATTTAACTAAACCGCATAGTGCAATAATGTTGCATGAACTCTTATAGCATTATGTGTGAATCAAATATATTTTGTCGATAACTTTCTAGCTTTATTTAATGTAAGTTTTTCATTCCTATTTTGCCATACCACAATCAGTTTTGGACAAAATCATACTCCTGGGCCAGTTTATGGATCTTGCTAAACCTTTAGTAGTATCTGAATGCTCCCATTAACCTTAAGGGAGTTTTTCAAAGTTACGGAATAGCTCTATTATCTACAATTGCAGAGTTGGGTCTAATGCCAGCCAAAGTAAGCCATGGATAGTCTACCTTTAGAATAATCAAGTGTTGTAATGACTCATAGAAAGTAGCACAACTACTTTTCTACCTCAGATCATGAAGCAGAGAGTTGCATTGCATTCTGCCTCTGCTTTGACTGGAGAGATAGGTTTAAGCTGTTTTGTGTGTAAATGAATTGCACTTGTGCTTTGGTTTTATGGGCATCAGTTCAGAAGCATACAAATATAATTTGATATGTGCTAAAGAAGTTCTATTGTTGTTGGTTTGGAATGAAATTTTGGAATATTGTCCAGTATTTGTTTGTCACTCATAAATACTTGGTTATTTTTAAAGGTGAAGTCTGTGAAAACTGGGTCGGTCTTTTGGACAATCTGTTGCTGTCTATCCTACTTTTACATGGTAAGCCTTATATATATATAACAGCTAAACTATTTGAGGAGGGCTTACATGATCCGTAAGCTGATGAAGAACAGAAGAAGGAGATGTTAATTTTTTTGGAGCCACAATATAAAATTGTTGCTTCATATTACTGTTAAAACCTTAAACATATGAGTAAAAACACATAGTAAGCGTTTTGAAATTTAAACTATTTAAATAAACAAAATGAAAACAATTTTTGGAAAAATTCTTAAATATGATAACTTTACTTACAAATTTATCCTGTGCTGTGAATAGGTACTCTGACTCATTGGGATTTTTGTTTTGGTGCAGGTGAATTAAGGTGTAATTTTGATATTTGTGTGCCTACGTGTCATCATTTCTAAAATGTAATAGTAATATTAAAAAATTATGGACAGAGTTACATTTATATAACTTTGAAAGCTATTTCTTTGGGTATAATTATGCCATAAATTAAAGCTTACCACTAGAACTGCTGAATGAGTTCAATGTCAGATTAAACAATCATAATGTCCTTCTTCATTCGTGATCTGTGAAAATGGAGGCTATTGCAGAAATGTTCCTAAGGGCTACAGAGGGGAAAAACAGTTGAGGAGATAAAACTAATAGTAAAATGGACGGAATTGGTTTCCACTTTCCTTTATCTTCTGAAGCCTTAGACTTGAAGAATTTTCCCGTATGAATCAGTCAAAGGCCCTTTTCCCCTAACTGATAAACTTTTTTTTGTGGCTATATGAAAAATAAATTAGCCTCAGAATAGCCAGTGGTGGCACAGTCAGGCCAATTGCTTGGTGCTGGTTAATATTGAGGTCTCAAATATTTATTTTCTACAGTCAGGTAACTAGGCTTGCAAGAAAAAGGAACTTAAGAACTGCTTTGCATGCTGTTAATTAAATGTTAATTTAGAGGTTATCTAGATGCTGCCTCGATTTCTTCTACCTTTAATGTTCATTGGGTTTTCTGGGAGATTTTTGCTGTTAATACAGCAAATAATAGCTCTGTTTATGTCGACAAAGAGGATAGCTATCTCCTGTGAGGAGTACATTTATTTCCTCCTCTGTTTCGTCTCCTTTTTGACAAGTCATTAAAAAAGCATCCACTTCTTTACACATAACACTGCTGTTTATATCACATTACAGTGAAGCAATCCTGTAGGTTTGGTACAGACTTATGTGCAGTACAGAATCGGGCAAGTAAGTTTTAAATTGTTATATTTATATACAGTAGTCTTTTTTATAGTGTGCCAGTTTATTGGCAAGATCCTCTAAAAGTGCTGTTCATAAATATACACATAACAAATGTGGTGCTTTTACAATTTTACTGCTGAAAAATCACATAATAACAAGTTCTTCCCATCTTCATCTAAGTAGTGTCTTGATCTGTGGGATTGTATGAGAAGGAGAGGGTGTGATCTAGAGTGTGCATGGTGACAGAACTTATGGAATCAATGTCATCGTCATGACATTGAATCCTTGAATGTAAATTAATGTTTTTTTTCTTTGATTTTCCTTTCAAGTGCTGTCAGATAGTGAAAGGTTAAGATCAGTCCATAGCTTAGCCTCAGTGATTAGGTGATAGAATTTTATTGCTTACAGAGTGTATCTACTTCATCCCTGGTGGTGGCTTTCCATATATTTTATTTCCCTTTTGGAAGGAGTTTTGTTAAACTGCCTTTTTAGACATTTTGCTTAGGTAAATTTTTAGGACAAGGCATAATTATACTATTTGTTACATAGTACTAATTTATCTTTCTTTGATGGAATTAGTTATATTTTCAGTGCAAGTTCACAATTTTGAGATAGTAAGAGTCAGTCCTTGTATGGGGAGTTTGGGGAACAGCTCCTTGAAAGAAGAACAGATATTGCATGGGCTGACAGAAATCTTTCTTGATAACTCAGAGGGCTGGAACACCTTCCTTGTGAGGACAGGCCGAGAGAGTTGGGGTTGTTCAGCCTGGAGGAGAGAAGGCTCCAGGGTGACCTTAATAGGGGCCATCCAGTACCTCAAGGGGGCCTACAGGAGAGATGGGAAGGGACTTTTAAAAAGGGAATGCAGTGACAGGACAAGGAGTAATGGATTTAAATTGGAAGAGGGCAGATTTCAACTAGATACTAGGAAGAAATTTTTCACTGTGAGGCTGGTGAGGCACGGGAACAGGTTGCCCAGAGGAGTTGTGGATGCCCCATCCCTGGAGGTGTTCAAGGCCAGGCTGGATGAGGCTTTGAGCATCCTGGTCTAGTGGGTGGTGTCCCTGCCCATGGCAGGGGGTTGGAAGTAGATGATTTCTAAGGTCCTTTCCAGCCCTAACCATTCTATGAACCTATGATTCTATGATTCTAACTAAATCTGCTTAAAATATGTACCTAAACTGTGGTAATTCAACTGATAGCATTGCATTGCATTGCATTCCATAAGGAGAAGGGTTTTTTCCTTCCTTCCTTTATATTTTTAGCATCTATTTGACTTCACCAACTTCTGCTTTGGGTAGCTTTTTATGGCAAGGAGGTAAAATAAAACAAAGCTTTACATTGAAGCAGTCACTGTAGGAGTAATAGCATGTTTCCACTCTTTGCGAATCTATGAAAATGCCTCAGCTTTGTTTGCAAAGTTCCAAAGTGCATCTTCAGTACAATCTTCGGTGCTTAGATTTGGTTTAATATTTTGATAATTAGAGATGCAGGTCTCTGGTCCATACAAACTGTCTGCTATCTGCATCATTCAAACCTTGCCCTAAATATGACAGTGTCCTAATTGCACATTTGTTATCATTCTGTTCCGTCTTACCTATCATGGTCTAACATTTTCTCTCAATAAATACAGTTGCCTGTGTAAACCATGATACTTCATGCTAGTAATTTGGCAATAGGATCATAATAATCTGAAACAAGTTTCTAGAAAATTTAAGAGATCTCTATTCTACTTGTTTCATGTTGTCTTAGTTGGTTACCCCAAATTTTGAAACACTGGGTTTTGTAGCGTTAGTATAAAAAAATAGTATTTGGCCTCATCTTTATTTTAGAATCTGTTTTATAGAACATAGTCATTTGGGTTTCTTTTTGGATTCTAGGACTTTAAAAATATCTATATGAATCTAAGTCCTAAAGTAAGTATAATTAAAGTGAAAACCACATTAGCTAGTACATTCTAAAAATGAAGATCTAGGGTAGTTATTGTATATATGGGACAAGTCTAGACTGTAATTTGACAAGAGGATGTGTTAAAATACAGATTGTCTAGTCAACATTAGCCGTTCTAAATGTTAGAAATGTAAATAACGCATTGTCATGATCGCTCATTACATCTTTATCTGAACAAGCAACCAGTGATATATTTATAACATTGTAGTGTTTCTGTTCTAAGTACATTGTACCAGTGCTTGTCTTCTCAGGTGCTGCTGTTACTGCAGGTTCACAATATCCATGACGTTGTTGTACATCATTCCACATCCTTGTGCAACCACCCCCTTCCGTTTCGTTCTTTCCTTACACTACAACCTGCATTGGTTGCTCTGCTCCAGTAGTTCTGCTCCTGGAGGTGTACCTTGTTCCCTTTCTCCTTGCTGGCTGGGGATACTGTTCCCTGTCCCCACCAAAAAGTGCAGAGCATGGTGCCAAATTTGTATGTGAAAGGAAAATTTTGGATCCTACACGAGAGTCCTACCACTGCCTTGTACTGCAGCCTTCACCCCTTCACCATGGGGAAGAACCCTCAGCAACTAATTCTTGTTTGCCAGCATGACTGAATTAGCTTGGAAGGAGGAGAGATATAGGAAGGATAGCCTTGAAAATCCACCAGCCCATTTCAGAAGTCTTTAATGTTAGATATGTTGGGGGTTTGTTGGTTTTTTTCTTTTTTGATAATAAATATTGAGAAATATTCTGGTGGTATTACTGGTAGTTCTGACTGCTTGTTTAGATGGCATTTGTGTTTTCTTGTTAGACCATCAGGATGGTCAATCCTGCATTGGCTATTCTACAAATTTGCATGTGTTTTCAGATCTAATTTCCTATTCCATTTCTCATAGGTCTCTGCATGGGGTGGTTATGTTTTCATCATCAATCTTATTCCACTGCATGTGTTTGTTCTGTTGCTGATGCAGAGATACAGCAGGAGGGTCTACATTGGTAAGTTTTGTTCATTGAACAGTCACTCTCAAATGCTTAAACATGAGATAAGAAATGAATTATACTGGTGTGTTTTGTATCAAGTGGAATTAAGTAATTGTGTATCAGGTTGCACTTTATTAATTTGATTACTGATTATAGTAATTTATTATCTACAGCATGGAAATAAGGAGTTAAAACATACACTTGCAAAATTTCACGTATGTAGCTGCTATTTTCTCCTTTCTAGTGCACTGGAAAAAAAACCCAATTGGATGGTTTATTTGTAGAGTCCTTTTAATATATTTATATATATATTATGTGTGCATCTGTAATAATATTTCATATTTTTGTCTTTTTCTATTATGTTAAACAATAGGTATTTTTAAAAAGTTTGTGAAGCAGAAACTATGTGAATTATTGTGACATATATGAGAAAAGACATAGGGAAATTTAAGCAACCATGTATGTTTTACATAAATTAAAAAGTAGTGTAGGAGTCTGTCTACTCCATGTGAATCCTTAAGATTTTATTGGGTTAATGGGTCAGCTTTGCTTCCAGTTTCAGGAATGTGTGAATAGGAATCTTAGAAGACTTTTTTTTTTTAATTTATTGGCTTTACATTTAAATAATCTCTAAACTGTTTTTACAGACACTT